AACGGGGGATGATCGCACCATGTTGTGTTAAAATGGTCAAGCTTCCTCGAGGCAGTTACACAGTGCTTACAACTGTCTCTGGAAGTAAAAGCACCAGAAAATAAATTAAGTCATACGTAGCTGTCATCCGTACGCAAGGAAGTAAGCACAAGATGCCGAACACCCTTAGCAGGATGCAGCTCACCCTTCATGCGACTCGCCAAATACCTCACGGCGCTTCGCGCTTGGTGATGTGAGAGCCTGGTCCGGTGAGAACCCGGCGTGCTCCGTCCCGGCTTTGTAGGGATGCGAGGTCGATGGTCAAACGACTACGGCATGCACGACTATGAGTACACCCCCCCCCCCCTGCTCCCGCCGCCGCCCCCACCGTCTCCCCCTCCTCGTCTCGTCCGGCGAGAAGAAGACGACGATCTCGTCGCCCCCGAGGAGGAGGAAGAGGAAGGGGCCATGCGCTGGAGCATGAAGACCGTGGCCCCCTCCCGCCCCGGGACGTGGGTGAACCGCGACCCGTTCCACGAGACGTAGCCCTTCATGGGGCGGGAGCGGATCACGACCCGGCCCCTCTCGTCCCCGACGAGGACGCCGTCCGGGCCCTGCGGCTTGCCGACCCACTCCAGCTTGAGGTCCTCCCACTCTCCTCCGACCACGTCGCGGTCCCAGGCCTACATGTAACGTTTTATTGTCCAACGTTTTACTGTCCATATTTTTATATTTCCGAGCATATTTTGGGACGTTGTAAACAGCATTCTTAACGAAACCAACCTTCCGTGGGGGCATAAACAGTTTGGCACTCGTTTGGGTGTGTTTCGTGGCCGTGTACATGTACGTGGGTCTTGGCGGTGCCCGGCAACGGCGCACGGCGGTACGGCGGCAAGGGACAAACTTTGCAAGTTTTCGGGGATTCGAACGCCTTACCGGTTACTTAGGACGAACATGTCGGGAGCCAAGAAGGGGAATAACAGAAACGTGTTCTCAGAGGGTTACGATACTATAGTCGACACGGGCGGGGCGGGGGGCGGGAGTGGTTCTCCACCCTCCGTAGACCTCATGACGGTGCCCCGTACCTCTTCTCACGCGAAACAGCAAGCGAGGCTGACGAAAACCGGATCCAACGGGTGGACGGAAAAGTGGGTCTTACAGTCACCTCGAACGGATGGGTGGGTGGGGGTAGAGGCCTGGGCCGCCGCCGCCCCCGTTACTGTCATACGAACCCGTCAAGCTAGGGGATAGTTGGACATTGGAGGCCTAACCGACCGTTGCGTGTTGCCCATGACCAACTCGCGAAGAAAGTTCTTGGGAAAGTCGAACGCGTTCGCTCTCTTATGGTATCATGTATTCTAGGTTGTGACAAATCTAGATAGAAAAGCAGGCCAGGAGAAGGGAGCACTGCAACTACATGCCACCGAGATAGTGTACAGGCTACCAATCGAGGTCTTTTAGGTAAAAAAAATGAAGGCCCGGTTTCTAAGCCAGCTGTGTAAGAAGTACCAAGTCGGGCACCCCGCCAGAGAGGACGCGGAAAAGGCTACCGCTACCTCTGCTGCCTTCGCCTGCCGCCTGTACTGCTGCTGCTAGCGGCAGCCCGCTGCGGCGGTTCCAGGGGGGGATGAACATGTCGGTGAATCACACGCGCATGGCCGGGTCTAGGGATTGCTGTTGGGGTGGACGGTACAGTCGAGGGGAAACAGCGACAAGAGGGAACAAAGGCTGCTCGGTGCACACCACACTCGAACAGCCAGCCCCCTCGACGAGCTACACAACCCAGTTCGACCAACAACAACACGACTACCGCCAGTACGACCAAAGAGCTCACCACCCATGTGAGAGGCTGCTTGATGCCGAGGAAGAAGAGAAAGGTGTTGGTCGCTCTTGACCGGATGCGGACGTGGCCTCGATGCCGCCCGTTCTCGGCCTGAAAGAGCATCCTGTGGGCCTCGTTCTGCTTCACCTGTTCCGTTTTTGGGACAAAAATTGTTTGCGGTTTCTCCTCTTAAACCTTGCGTGTAGTGCTCGTGCAGAGGTCGGTTTCAACCCTCACCGCGAGAGGGTGAGGGTGAGTCGGGCAGAGTGAACACTGCTTTGATCTCATGTGCGTAGGGGTACGAATCACGGTGACCGTGTCAACCGACTTCCCACGTCCCACAATCGGACTTCACTCGACGTGTTCCTTACCGATGGGGTTGTCGCACACTACTTGCACACAGGAGGTGTGATTTTCATGAACGCTTCCAATTTGGCACGGATAAGTTTCATGAACAACCTGTCTTGTCTGCCTACCTCTATCTCGTTGCCATGCCTGCCTCTCTGTCTCTACCACATCTACCTCTTTCTCTTTGCCATGCCTGCCTCTCTCTCTTTACAACATCTACCTCTCTCTCTTTGCCAGGTCCACCCCTCTCTTAGCCAGGTGTGCCCTTTTCTCTTTGCCATACCACACATATATCTACCGCACCTCCCCCTGGAACCTCGGAGCGATCTTGTAACCCCCCCACAACGAAAGCAGCCAGTTCAGCTCCGGCTGGAAGGGGTGGTCCTCCACGTACAGCCAAGACGCGTCGTCGCACATCTTGATGAAGAACGTGCTGTGCAGCAGCTCGTCGAGGTCCTTCTCGGTGAAAAAGTTCATCTTCTGCTCATGGGTTGGGAGGGAGTGATGGGCAAGAAAGAGGGAGGAAGGGAGGGGGGGGGGGGGGGGGGGACCCCAAAGCGGGGCTGGCGGAAACCTTTAAAAATTTACCCCCCCTCCCCACAAAACCGGGGGGGGAAAAGCCGGGGTTTCCCCGGGACAGGGTTTCCCATTACCAAAGGGGAAAGGCCGGGGGGGATTTTGGGGGGCCCCAGAAGGGGGGACCGC